ACTTTGATAGAAAAGGAGACAATTATTTAAAATACTGGATACAAATGTGGTAACCCACAGGGTAATGTAAGTGAATCTATCACAGATTATGCAGTAAGAAATAGAGCAGAGAAAAATAATTCGTCGTGTCAACTGAGTTCTAAAATAACTGAACTAGTCTGTGTGGACGTTTGACGTAAAAGAGAATTTATTTAAAGCTGTGAATACGATTGTAATAACTCACGAGGTAACGTAAGTGAATTTATCACTGATTCTATTGTGATAAAATAGGAGATTCGTCTTGTCATTTTGGTTCTAAAGTAATTGAACCAAATCTGTGTGGACTTTTGATGTGAAAGGAAATTACTTAAAGCTCTGGATATGACTGTGGTAACCCACAGGGTAACGTAAGTTAACTTATCACTAATTGTATTGTGATAACAGAAGAAAAAAGAGAATTTAGAGTTTTAGATACAACTGTGATTTCTTTAGTGTAAAGAATTTTTGTACATACTGTTGCGTCAGCGAGGTCACGTGACCAGTGTCACGCCACTTCTCTCGAACCTTCGGAAATAGTCGGGAGATTACTAGATATAGCGTAGTCTGGTATATATATAAGAGGGTGACAACGTGACGGAACAATGTGTGTGTAGACAGTGAGTAATTGATCTGTAGTCAGAAAGTATTATTGAAGTTGAGCACGTTCGTTGTTATAGCGTTTGTTTTAGTGCGATTGTTGAAATTAGGTGTATCGTAAAGTTATATTCGGAAAGAATAAACCAGTTTTATTAAGTAAGGACTTGTGTCGCTAAAGTTTCGTCAGAACGAATTTACGGAAAATCAATTAACGAACGGAGACGTAACAATACATTTGACTTCTTTTGAATATATTCTTTCAAAACAATTGAATTGTGTGCTGTCCACTTATTGATCGAATTTATGGCCAACAAATCACAGACATCTACTGTAAAAGAATCCCAGCACATATTCAACACCTGAAAAAGAATAAAACCCAAATTTTTATCGTCACGAAAAGAAGTAGCCAATTTGTACAGTTACAAAATTACTCACAAACAGCTCAATAGTGTTACAACATTTTCATTAAATATGTAAATTCTGTTATGTATTGTTTCAGGAGTGTCTCCTCATTGTAACGAAAATTACCCATCCTGTATTATATATATAGTATTATAAAGAAATTAAAAAAATTCTCTATTGAAGTCTATACAGGCTTTGTTTAGTGGACATTTTATATACCTTTAGAATGTCTAAATACCGACACCTAGCGACATTTCATGGTTT